AGATGGGTCAACATGGGCCAACATAGGCCTCAAGCTGGGCCAACATAGGCCTCAAGATGGGCCAACATAGCCCCAAGATGGGCCAACATAGCCCCAAGATGGGTCAACATAGCTCCAAGATGGGCCAACATAGGCCTCAAGATGGGCCAACATAGGCCTCAAGATGGGCCAACATAGCCCCAAGATAGGCCGCCGACCCTCAAAATATCCTGCGTTTTACAGTGTTTTTTTGCTGTTCCCATTTTTCGGATCTTTTGGCTCCGCACGGGTCAACATGGGCCAACATAGGCCTCAAGATCGGCCGACAAAGGCCTCAAGATCGGCCCACATAGCCTTCAAGATAGGCCAACATAGCCCCAAGCTGGGTCAACATAGCTCCAAGCTGAGCCCACATTGCCCGCAAGATAGGCCAACATAGGCCAACAGATGGGCCAACATAGTTGGGCCCCTGCCCCTGACCTCGTGGTGGGGTGCGCGTGTCGACAGAAACCCCTGTAATTTACAGTGTTTTTTTGGCCCTGTGACATTCAACATGTTTTTGCACTAACATCGCGCACGATCGCCCAACATAGCCCCAAGATGCCCCAACGTAGCCCCAAGATGCCTCAACATCGGCCCACGATGGCCCCAACATAGGCGAACATTGCCCCAAGATGGGCGCAACATGGGCCCAAGATGGGCTAACATAGGCCCAAGATGAGCAAACATAGCCCCAAGATGGGCGCAACATGGGCCCAAAGATGGGCTAACATCGCACCAAGATGGCACAAAATGGGCCCAACAACCAACAACCAACAACCAACCACCAACCACCAACCAGCCACCAACAACCAACAACCACAACAACGACCACAACCACAACCACAACCACAACCACCGCAACAACAACAACAACAACAACAAGAAGAAGCAGGTCAACATAGTTGGGCCCCTGGCCGGCTGTCGCGCGTAAGCGCTTAAATCCGGCCAGGGGCCCCCTGGCCGTGGCATTGCCGAAGGCGTTTCTCTCCTCTCCGTAGGAGAGAGGGGCCGCCGCCCCAGCCGCCGACCAACCCGGCCGCCAAAAACTCCCGCGTTTTACGGTGTTTTGTGCTCTTCCCATTTTTTCCCATTTTTCGGCTCTTGTGGTTTAAGCTGGGTCAACATGGGCCAAGATAGGCCTCAAGATGGGCCAACATAGCTCCAAGATGGGCCAATATCGCCCCAAGATGGGCCAACATAGCCCCAAGATAGGCCCACATTGCCCTCAATATAGGCCAACATAGCCCCAAGATGGGCCAACATAGCCCCAAGATAGGCCGCCGACCCTCAAAATATCCTGCGTTTTACAGTGTTTTTCTTGCTGTTCCCATTTTTCGGATCTTTTGGCTCAACATGGGTCAACATGAGGCCAACATAGGCCAACATAGCCACAAGATGGGCCCACATTGCCCGCAAGATAGGCCAACATACGCCAACATAGGCCAACATAGCCACACAATGGGCCTACATAGTTGGGCCCCTGGCCGGCTGTCGCGCGTAAGCGCTTAAATCCGGGCGCCGGCCCCGGGCCCGTGGCATTGCCGGAGGCCTTCGGTGGTAACCGAAGGTTATATACGGCTGCCCCCCCTGCCGCCGACCTACCTCCTACTTACCTCGTGTCGATTCCGGTTCACCCCCGGTCCACGATTATCGTTGTAATTTACAGTGTATTCTGCGTGTGGTGTTCAAAAAACATTGTTTTTTACAGGGTTTTGTGGCCTTCGCCGTCTCCAGGTTTCATCTTGGCGACGTTAAAAAACCATGGGTTTTTCAGGGTTTTGGGTCTTCGGAAGGTGTCCGGAACGGAAAACTGGACATCTTGACGGCCTTGGTGTCAACATAGGGCCAACATCGGCCAAGATGTGGGCTACATGGGTCAACATAAGGCTAAGATAGGGGCAAGCCTGCGCCAACATAGGGCCAACATCGGCCAAGATGTGGGCTACATGGGCCGACATAAGGGCTACATGGGTCAACCTACGGCTAAGATAGGGGCAAGCCTGCGCCAACATAGGGCCAACATCGGCCAAGATGTGGGCTACATGGGCCGACATAAGGCCAAGATAGTGACTACATAGGCCAAGATGTGGGCTACCTGGGTCGACATTACGCCAAGATGTGGGCTACATGGGCCAACCTAGGGCCAAGACAGGGGCAAACCTGCGCCCAAATACAACAGCAACAACAACAACAACAACAACAACAACAACAACAACAACAACAACAACAACAACACAAAACAACACAAAACAACACAAAACAACAAAAAACAACAAAAAACAACAAAAAACAACAAAAAACAAAAAAACCAACAAAAAACAACAACAAACAACAACAAACAACAACAAACAACAACAACCAACAACAACAACAACAACAAACAAACAACAAACAAACAACAACAACAACAAGAACAACAACAAGAACAAGAACAAGAACAAGAACAAGAACAACCACAACAACCACCACAACCTAGGGCCAAGACAGGGGCAAACCTGCGCCCAAATACAACAACGACAACAACAACAACACCACCAACAACAACAACAAAAAAAACAACGACGACCACGACAACAACAACAACAACAAGAAGAAGAACAACAACAACAAGAACAAGAACAGCGACGACAACGACAACGACAACAACAAGAACAACGACGACGACGACGACAACAACAACAACAACAACACCAACACCAACACCAACAACAACAACAGCAACAACAACAACAACAACAACGACAACGACAACGACAACGACAACGACAACGACAACGACAACAACAACAACAACAACAACAACAACAACAACACCAGCTCGGGCTGCCGGGTCTGCTTTTGCCGGCGCCCGGCTGTCAGGCGTAAGCCTCATAAATCCGGGCGCCGGCCCCGGGGCCGTGCCCGTGTCCTTGCCGGAGGCCTTCGGTGGTAACCGAAGGTTAGTTATATGCGTGGACGCCCCTGCCGCCGACCCACCTCGTACTTCAGTGCCTCGTTGTAATTTACAGTGTATTCTGCGTGTGGTGTTCAAAAAACATCGTTTTTTACAGGGTTTTGTGGCCTTCGCCGTCTCCAGGTTTCACCTTGGCGACGTTAAAAAACCATGGGTTTTTCATGGTTTTGGGTCTTAGGAAGGGGTCCGGAACGGAAAACTGGACATCTTGACGGCCTTGGTGTCAACATAGGGCCAACATCGGCCAAGATGTGGGCTACATGGGTCAACATAAGGCTAAGATAGGGGCAAGCCTGCGCCAACATAGGGCCAACATCGGCCAAGATGTGGGCTACATGGGCCGACATAAGGGCTACATGGGTCAACATAAGGCTCAGATAGGGGCAAGCCTGCGCCAACATAGGGCCAACATCGGCCAAGATGTGGGCTACATGGGCCGACATAAGGCCAAGATAGGGACTACATAGGCCAAGATAGGGCCAACATCGGCCAAGATGTGGGCTACCTGGGTCGACATTACGCCAAGATGTGGGCTACATGGGCCAACCTAGGGCCAAGACAGGGGCAAACCTGCGCCCAAATAGGGCCAACATCGGCCAACAACAACAACACCACCACCACAACAACAACAACAACAGCAACAACAACAACAACAACAACAACAACAACAACAACAACAACAACGCCCGCTCGGGCTGACGGGTCTGCTTTTGCCGGCGCCCGGCTGTCAGGCGTAAGCCTCATAAATCCGGCCAGGGACCCCCTGGCCGTGGCATAGCCGTACGGCGTTTCTCTCCTCTCCGTAGGAGAGAGGGGCCGCGCCCCCTGCCGCCGACCACCCCCCCCCACCGCGTGTCATCAAAAAGTCCCGCGTTTTACGGTGTTTTGTGCTCTTCCCATTTTTTCCAATTTTTCGGCCTTTGTGGCTCAAGATGGGTCAACATGGGCCAACATAGGTTTCAAGATGGGCCAACATAGCCTCAAGAGGGGCCAACATAGCCCCCAAGATGGACCAACATTGCCCCAAGATGGGCCAACATAGCCCCAAGCTGGGCCAACATCCCCAAGATGGGCCAACATAGGCCTCAAGATGGGCCAACATAGCCCCAAGATAGGCCGCCGACCATCAAAATATCCTGCGTTTTACAGTTTTTTTTTGCTGTTCCCATTTTTCGGATCTTTTGGCTCCACATGGGTCAACGTAGGCCTCAAGATCGGCCAACCTAGGCCCCAAGACGGGCCAAAATAACGCCAAGGTGGGCCAACATAAGCCCCAAGATGGGCCAACATAGCCGGCAACATAGCCTTAAGATCTTGCTCCCAGCTAGACCCATATCACCTCAACATGGGCCCCTGGCCGGCTGTCGCGCGTTAGCGCTCAAATAATTATATCAACAAATAACAGAAAACGCCCAAAAAACATCGTAAAAATGCGGCCTCCACAGCGTCCCACTCTCTGTACCTATGCGCACATTCAACTATTTAAGGCCTGGGAGGACGGGGGGCTTGGGGGAGGCTTGCGGAAACTTGCGGGGAGTTGGCGGCTTTGGGGAGGGCTTGGGGGAGGATGGGACTTTCTTACTCGTTGGGGGCTCGAAGGTACTTGGCGCATATATAGGCCCGACTTTCATACTTGCGAACCTTGAAGGCACTCTATCAAATCATCCTACTGTATCCTACTGTTGAAGCCCAAAGGACACGCGCCGGCATAAGCGAGATAATCCACAAGGCACAAGCGACAGCGAGGCCGCTTCCCAGCAAAACAGGCGCAGACCGACTTTGCCATCGATCTTCACCTCCAGTCCAATGGATTGTGCCAACTTGGACAAATGTGGGAAAACTCAAATGCACATTGCACCATCCTGTCCTTGAGTTTGTCAACGTGATTCAGAACGACTGTGCTTTACGGTGGAAAAACAATTCAATGGACAAGAGACAAAGCACAATGTGGTACTTGGGTTGAGGTGTCAATCTATTGAGCAAGCACCTGTGTGTGACTCGATTGTTCAGCTCTAGAACACTTTTCGACTCCTGTTGGGTCCTCTGTCGTCACGTCACGCGACTAGGCCCATGCCAGCCAAAGTGCTGTGAATCTTTGGTGATTACAATCCCAGACTGTGGTGCCTGGGCCCTTTTCACAATTCACAGCACGAAGGCACCATAGCATGTCAAAATATCCCGAGCAATTATCCAATCTTCGTTGGACGGAAAATAAGTCACCCAGGTCGTCAAAGGTCTGTTGGAAGCTGCATGAAATGGACGCTGTCATCCATCTCGACGAGGGAACTATCGGCATTCTTGTGCCAGAAGGGAAGCCAACGTCGATGGCGGCGGCCTGGGCGGCGACGCTGGCGCCTGTAGACCTTGTACTTGGTTGTGGTATCAGGTTCATCTGTGGTATCAGGCTCATCTGTGGTATCAGGTTCGTCAGTAGTGGTCGCAGGAGTGAAACCGTCATCCGTCTCGAGGAGGGAACTATCGGAACTATCAGCATTCTTGTGCCAGAAGGGAAGCCAACGTCGATGGCGGCGGAATGGGCGGCGACGCTGGCGCCTGTAGACCTTGTACTTGGTTGTGGTATCAGGTTCATCTGTGGTATCAGGCTCATCTGTGGTATCAGGTTCGTCAGTAGTGGTCGGAGGAGCCTGGTGGACACCGTCATCCGTCTCGAGGAGGGAACTATCGGAACTATCGGCATTCTTGTGCCAGAAGGGAAGCCAACGTCGATGGCGGCGGAATGGGCGGCGACGCTGGCGCCTGTAGACCTTGTACTTGGTTGTGGTATCAGGTTCATCTGTGGTATCAGGCTCATCTGTGGTATCAGGTTCGTCAGTAGTGGTCGGAGGAGCCTGGTGGACACCGTCATCCGTCTCGAGGAGGGAACTATCGGAACTATCGGCATTCTTGTGCCAGAAGGGAAGCCAACGTCGATGGCGGCGGAATGGGCGGCGACGCTGGCGCCTGTAGACCTTGCACTTGGTTGTGGTATCAGGTTCATCTGTGGTATCAGGCTCATCTGTGGTATCAGGTTCGTCAGTAGTGGTCTTCGCAATGAGCACCTTGTCCATAAGGCCATCGCGGGCCATCTGGAATGGGCCAATCAAACTGCGAGGAAAGTCACGCGCCAGGAATCCGTGGGAACAAAGCTGATTGTCCCAAGAGACAAAGCGTTTACCCATGGCCTCCACCACTTTCACCTGTTTACCGTCCTGAACGGGTGGAAGGTGTGAAGGTGCGAGTGAGGAAAATAACAACTTAATTATCATAATTATCATACAAACACTAGTCATTATGGCATTGTGGTTACAGCAGTTGTCAATCATCACTCATGCTCCTGATGCTTTGCGTGGCATGGTTTTCTCCCTGCGCCCTTCAGTGGAATTCCACCCCTATCAAACTACACAAATGAAAACGCGGCTCGATGATCACCGCAACAATATACCTCAATGAGGAAATTCTGACACGACCTGCCTGATTCTTGAACAACAGGCTGCCCACGCTTTGACCATCTGGTGCGGAGTGGAGATAGACTACTGCGGCAGTGCCTTGAACGAGGCCATCTTCCTTTTTTCCATTGACGTAGTCCTTGTGAAGGGTTGAGCAACGCTGAACAAAGTCAATCAATGTTACAAAGTTGATTTTTGAAAGCATGTTCTAGCATGGTGAATGATCTTGAACAAAGCGTTCCCAGTCTTTCCGCCTGCCCCAACTCTTTGGAGGAGATCAAGAAGCAAAACCCAGGTCCTGGTGATCCGGCACATGGCCCTCCTTGTGAGACACCGGAATCATGGTCTCTTTCAGCTCGTCCCAGTCTCCATGGATAGCGCTCTGCAAACGGCGTTGCACGGACTTCTGGACTGCATGCCCTCTGAGCAACCCGGAAGACAGGACCTCGCAGGTGACTTTGACACACCAGGAGATCTGGTGATTTCTATGCAAGAATTATGATTGCATATAATCGTAAACGTAACCAAGTCGAATTTAAGTATAATTGAATTATAATTGTACCTTTTTCCTGTCGTGGTGATTTATCGAGGGAAGTTTGGAAGTCAAACTTTCGACAATATGGACAGATGAAGCAGCAGAGGCGCGAAGAGTCCGACAAGGGAAAGGAAGAAAGAAGATTAAAGAAGAGAAAGAATCAGAAGAAGCAAGATGCAGGTGCCCGAATAGGTAGGAAAGTCGCGATACACTGTTTTTTCCAATGTTTTGTGGCTCGACAAGTAGGCTTGCTAAAGCGGCGGGTTCGGAGCCATCTGGTCAGATGAGAGATGAAAAATTGCACGCTGGTGTGGCGCGAAGAAGATTTCAAGGTCAAAATGGCAAAAGCAAATTATTCTCGAAGCACTTTTGGAAGTTGAGCTGTCGAAAAAGTGCACGCGACTGTGATGCAAAGCAAATTTCGAAGTCAAAAGTGCACAAAACACACCTTTTTCGGAGCACTTTTGGAAGTTCAGATGCTGACAAAGTGCAAGGCGTTGTGGCGCAAGACATGTTTGGAAGTGAACATGTTGAAAAACCGCGGGTTCGGAGCACTTTTGTCAGCTGAGATGTTCAAATAGTGCATGCTGTTGTGGCGAGAAGCACGTTTCGAAGTCAAAAGTGTTAAAAACTGACGGTCTCGGTCCGCTTTTGGAAGTTGACATGTGAAAAAGTGCACGCCGTTGTGGCGCATTGTGGCGCGAAGCACATTTCGAAGTCAACATGTAAAAAGCACACTGTGGGTTCAAGCGGCATTTTCCTTATGGATTCAGCACCTTTACAAAATTGAGCTAGCCGTGTGGGTCTTGTAGCAGTTGCAAAGACGATGGCAGGCGTCGGACGTTTGAAGAGGATCTGCAAGCTTGAATTTCGCGTGGCAAGCGCAGTGCAAGAGACATCTCCATCAGATGTTAGGAGGTCAGGGCGCTGATTTCGTTAGAAAGGTTGCATATTGGAGCATCAGATCTTCAGGTTTGCTAAGACGAGTTTGCATGACAGGTGCAGCACTCTGTATGACCCGGCCCCGCTTTGTCTCAAAGCAGGCGCAGTACTTTGGAGACATGGGAAAGAAAAAACGCACATCGCATTGGTACGAAGCTGTCAGTTCTGCACTCAACTTTCCACTTTTGAAGGAAGCCTCGCAGAAATGCTTCGTTTTTGACGTTGTCAACTAGAAAAATTGAGGAGGTCTCGCAGACTTGCTTCGTTGTCAATTTCAAAAACTCAAGGATCGTTTTGGAGCGGTTAACTTTCACTTTTTGAAGATGTCTCGCAGACTTGCTTCCCTTTGGAGCTGTGCACATCCAATTTTTGAGGACGTGTCGCAGAATCACTTCGTTTCAGATAGATAGAGAGACAGATGCATAGACAGATAGATATACAGATAGATAGCCAAATAAACAGATATACAGCTAGATCGCCGATCGATAGATAGATTTAGACAGATAGAAAGACAAATACACGGATAGAGAGATAGATAGAAAGAAAGATGGACAGATAGATAGAAAGATAGAAATACATAATAAAAGAAAGAAAAAAAGAAAGAAAGATAGATAGATTGATAGATGGGCAGGAAGGTAGATAGATAGATAGATAGACAGACAGATAGATAGATAGATAGATAGAAAGGAAAAAAGATAGATAGCCCGATTAGATAGACAGGCAGACAGACAGATACATACATAGATAGAAAGAGAGATAAACGAAAAAGTAGAGACATTACAGGTTGGTTGATACTGTAGTGCATGATTGATGGATAGATGGATAGATAGAAAGATTGATACATAGATAGATGGAAAGACAGATAGACAGACAGACAGATAGATAGTCAGTCAGATAGGCCAGATAGGCAGACAGACAAATAGATAGAAAGCTACGCCGATAGATAGATAGAGAGATGGTCAGATAGAAACAAAGGAAGAAATATTGATAGACACATTAGGCAACAGACAGAAAGACAGACAGTAGGACAGACTGACCAACAGACAGACAGACAGACAGATAGAAAATTATAGAGATAGAGAGATAGACGGGTAGATTAATAAATGGATAGATCCATAGATAGGGCAAATTAGAAAGAAAGATAGAACAATAGATGTAGATATAGATATAGAACTTGATATAGATAGATGGATGGATGGATGGATGGATAGAAAGATAGATTGATAGATGGACAGATAGATAGAAATGATATAGATAGATAGATAAATAAAAAAAAGATAAAGCAAGAAAGAAAGAACGAGAGATATATCGATAAGGAAACATGGATTGATAAAGATAGATGGATGGATGGATAGAAAGATGGATAGATAGATAGATAGATAGATAGATAGATAGAGAGATAGATAGATAGATAGATAGACAGATAGATAGATAGATAAAGATAGATGGATAGATAGATAGATAGATAGATAGAAATATAGATAGAGATAGAGATATAGATACAGATAGATATAGATAGATAGATAGATAGATAGACAAACAAACAGATAGATATACATACGTAGATAGATATAAAGATAGATAGATAGATAGATAGATCGATAGATCGATAGATCGATAGATCGATAGATAGATATAGATAGATATAGATAGATATAGATAGATATAGATAGATATAGATAGATATAGATAGATATAGATAGATATAGATATAGATAGATATAGATAGATAGATATAGATAGATATAGATAGATATAGATAGATATAGATAGATATAGATAGATATAGATAGATATAGATAGATATAGATAGATATAGATAGATATAGATAGATAAAGATAGATATAGATAGATATAGATAGATATAGATAGATATAGATAGATATAGATAGATATAGATAAATATAGATAGATATAGATAGATATAGATAGATATAGATAGATATAGATAGATATAGATAGATATAGATAGATATAGATAGATATAGGTAGATATAGATAGATATAGATAGATATAGGTAGATATAGATAGATATAGATAGATATAGATATAGATAGATATAGATATAGATAGATATAGATATAGATAGATATAGATAGATATAGATAGATATAGATAGATATAGGTAGATATAGATAGATAGATAGATAGATAGATAGATGGATGGATAGATAGATACATTAGATAGATAGATAGATAGATCGATAGATAGATATAGATAGATATAGATAGATATAGATAGATAGATAGATAAGATAGATAAGATAAGTTAGATAAGTTAGATAAGATAGATAAGATAGATAGATAAGATAGATAAGTTAGATAAGATAGATAAGATAGAAAATATAGATAAGAACGATAAGAAAGATAAGATGGATAAGATAGATAAGATAGATAGATCGATAGTTAGGTCGGTCGATAGATAGATAGATCGATAGATAGATAGGCAGAGGGAAAGAAAAGAGACAGGCCAGGCTCTGTAGCTTGAAGGTGGGGGGGAAGTAGACATGACATAGGACAAAGATGTACTTGGAATCGCTCTTCACTCTAGTGGCTTCTGACAACTATCCCTGCCTTTTCGGCTTTAGGGTGGGGGGGGAGTAGACATAGGACCAGGATGTAGTCGGACACGCTCTTCATTCTACTACTGACTTCTGACAACTATCGCTACCGTTTAGGGTTTAGGGTGGAAAGTATGCATAAAGTATTGCGCGCGCCATGCCAAGGTAATGTAAGAAGGAGAAAGCGTCGCCCCTGCCACGTGCAACCAGGGCAGCAACTACACAATGCAAGGCGCTCTGGTTTCTGCAAGAGGCGCCATGCAGGTCAGAGACGATCCCCCGCTTTCACTCCCACTCCTTCCTTACATACAAAGGAATGCACCTGCCACGCAATATTCATCTGTATTACTTCATTTCTCACCCCAAAGCAAATCCAGTGTACAAGCGAGGGAAAACCCTGTGCAAAAAGCAAGTGCTCGCCCGAGCGAGAGAGAGAGAGAGAGAGACTTCAGCTACCTTTCGATCCATCAGTGGGCTCGCTCTGCCATCCATGCATCACAACAACTCACCTTGCCTATAGTTTCCTATCTTTGAAACTTCCGCCACCGCTTTGTGCGGTACTACTGGTAAGCAGATACGGTACAAAACTGTCTCCTTGCCATTCAAGGAGTCTAAACATTCATCAAACTGTCTGTTATGAAGGTTGGTGCCTTCTCCTTCTCACCCGCCAGCAAGATCCGCGACTCCTCATCTGTCAGGAAATTGTCGACGACCTTGATGCTAGACAAGCACGTATCGTTGCTATCGGCTCCCTTGACCGTAGCCGTCAAGATCAGGAGCCACCACCACTGCATCGGGAAAATATGGGGTACGCTATGATGTAAATCTGTGCGATTCTTTGAACGTGTTCATATATGCTTGAGCCAAACAAACCATTGGTTGCTTGAAGATGGCATCAGCAGGTCGGAAGGCTTCTCAAGACAAAGACAAACATGCGGCAGTTTCGTATCCATTGAACCATGACAACGACAAGATAGAGATTCAAGCTGGCTTGCTGTCCGGGCCTTGGCATCAAGGCCCTGTCCTGGGTTCAGGGCAAGGGCACAACCAGACTCCCAGGAGCACTCGCCTACCGCCAACTGAAACACAGGAAAACACAGGGTCTCTGATTCTTCGTTTGCAAATTGGAAGACGGGCTTGTACATACTACGTTGCCTCGCTGGAGGCAAACAGATTAAATGATGGCGATCATAGCTTGACTTCACGCATTTAAGAATTTAAGCATATTTCAATATTTAAGCTTAAACAAGTTGCTTCAGGATTTAAGGCAAAGAGTCCCCCAACTTTGACGCAGGTCATCCCAGGTCATCCCAGGTCATCCGTTGTGGAAATGCGGAAAAACACGGCCATCCAATTCTACCGAGGTACCAAGGCACAGGGGCTCAGGCAGAGCTGTTCCCAATGGCGGAAGCTAAGTGGCTTGAGAACTAGCCAGAAGAGCTTCCGGCCTGTAGCTCTATAGTTTTTTTTTTATGCGTTTCTATATGTGCTTATGCGCTTGATAATGTTTGAATCATGTAGAAAAATGATTGGTTTCTGGATATTTCTGTTGGATGCTCCTGGTATGCGATATTGTGTTGATTTTGCCCGAGAATCTCTCGTCCAAATCAGTCCGCCCTGTTGAACCTTTTGGGCTGTTCACTGAGGCCCACAGCTCTTCACAAGGATACGTTTGTGCAAAGCTTTTCATTCCAAGTCCCCTGCCTATATCTTAGATCCTGACACCCTTCCATCCCGGTTGCATCCACTCCCACCTGCAAGCCATTGGAAACTTTCAGTTGCAGAAACTACAGGCAAATAAGACCATATAAGTCCATGTATGCTCCCAGTATCACTTTCAATCACTTTCAAATGCTTACCTCCATGCCATCTTTGACCAACTGTTTCACCCTGATGCTTCCTGCATGTTTTTGGTTTCCATCAAGGGCATGTGGTAAAGTATCAGTAGAAATATGGTAAAATTGCATTAGGGAACCGACACATGTTTCTAGATTGCATGGCAAGCAATCCGTCAGCGTTTCTGGAGTTTCCGAAGTTTCCCATCCGCATGGACCATGGAAGTTTAAGATTCAGCTCCAAACGATTTCCAGTCATCCCAGTCGATCTTCATGGCATCCTGGAGAAATTGCGGATCTCCCAGGAACTCCACAGAGATTGCGATGGTGGTGGTTCAAAAGAAGTTGCCAACCCCTAGCTCCCTGCACGGATTTCCATTGAAACTCTATCCATGATCAACTTCTTTCGATTCTCAGGACTCAGTTTGGGCAAATGTTGTTCCAGTTGAGCACAAGCCATAGGACCTGGTGTTTGTTGAAACTTGAATTGTTCCCTGATCCAATCTGCCATCTTCATCCATGAGAACCTCGGGGCTTCAGCATTTCCCACTGCAAACTCGGCCATGCAGAGGACATGGCACCTGCAAATTTGGCAGCTGCCTCGGCTGCATTCGCGGTGGTAAATCCTGGCACCGTGGCAGCCGTGGCCATGTTGGGTTTCCACCACTGGGGGAAATGGCAGCAGCTTGGTGGGCCGTTAGCAGTTTCCACCTTGGTCGGCACGTTGTAGAACTCCTGGTGCAGCTTGTCCTGAAGGTTCATGTGATCCAATCACATTCTTGCGTCAGCTAATTAAATGATTACTGTATGACATCATATCACCCTCACAGGAACCTGTATAGGGGCATCAATATGTATCAATATGTATCAACCACTGGATGCCTAAACTCAATGTAAAGGTTGGAAATTAAGCAAATGGCCAAATTTGGGCAACTCTCCTGCGACTGAAGTTTTGTTCAAGATTTTCAAGCGATGCTGATGGCGAACTTTGCTCTGTTCCACGGTGCAAAGTGGCACACTTTGTACATACTCAGAAGCAAAAGTAGCTGAATCTGCTAATATCTGTGTGATTCTATGTGTATGGATTCACTCACATACATAACATTATAATGCAGTCCGCTGCAACTTTGTCTACTTCTTCACCACGATTGAGTGGATCAAAATGGGCATGTCATCGCAAACTCAACAACATTTCAATCTTGTATCTTCCAGCTTCTGAGATTGGGGTGATACAATGTGATACATCCATGTCGCCGGGCTCCCCATGAAACTCTAGTGTCATCCTTTCACCGTTGAAATATTTTCAGGCTTCACCGCTTTCGTCTGAAGACAACACTTTTCTTGGGATTCCCGTGTCCGCCAAGCTTTTCTTCCATCATTTCTCAATGGAATGGGCGCGTCCAATGTCGCCGCCTGGCATATATGGAGAATGCCTAGCTGGCAAAGAACCAGCAAGCCGAAGACTTTCGTTCCCACAGGTCAAAAAACCAGTAAATGTTGTTCTATGTTGTTCTTTTATGTTCTTTTTTGGGTCAAGACCAGTGAAGTGAATGAGGAAGGACATTTGGCACCTCAATAAGTTCAAGCCGGGCTCATGGCTCCATTCTGGCTGACTCCATGCCATGCCATACACCTCGAAAAATCAAACGCACATATACATCGTGCTATACAACAAAAGAAACCTTCATGTTACTACGACGCTTGGTGGCTTAGTTTCGGCGACGGGTTGCAACCCATTAGCATGAAAGGTGGATGTTGTCACGACGGACTAGCATCTCCTTTGCAAAGGGCATCCCTTTGTTTCTGCAAAGAGCTACCTTTGTTTGTCCGGAGCTAGCTGGAGAAGAGAAACAGAGGTGGCCTTTTGGAGGAACCAATCAGTATCCTTTGGAGATGCTACGCCGTCGTGTCATCGCAGCAACAGCTGTGAGCGTCGTGGTAGCAAACCCTTCGTCGTGGTACCAGCTGGGTCAATGCAAGAAAAAATGGCCCGAGGTTTGATGTTTGTAAAAACATGTAAAAATGGTCAATTGATATCAATTGTAAGGCTGAAACCGTTGGATCTTGTTTCTTCTTTCCTGAAGGTGTGACCTCTCAACATACATCGGAAAGTAATAGTGCCAAAAAAACAGTGTGGAAGTGCATTCCAAGTAGCCCAGCCATCCGCATCGGTGAATTTGGTGACATCCTTGGTTGTACACGCAGGTGCATAAAGGGTGGAAAAGGCTGCAGAAACGGAAAACAATGGAACTGTTCCCAGCATCATTGCGGGAGGTGACTCTAGAAACAGAACGAGCTTGGTTCCAACCACGTAACGGCATTTTCCAGACCAGGACGACGATTACTGTATCTACCCTGCAGTAATTTGAAGGTGCTGGCCCTATTAGACATGGAGGGCTTTCAGTGTGACGTGAGGTCCTACTAAAAGGAAACGCTTATTGAACAAACCCTGTCTCGCGGTAACTCTGACCACCAGTTTTTTTTCATTGCCAAGTCGCCACTTTCCATGGACCCGCTTCCTGCAGGGTTCATCCAACAGGGATCCAACCGACTGGGACATGATGGCTTTGCTTACCCTGAGTTCCAGCCTTGTACAAACCGCCCAGGGTGCAAGGAGGCTCCTCCGGTGTGGTTGGCCATAGATATCAAAAGACCGCGAATCGCAAATTCATGCCGAGAACGATGAACAAAGCACCGCTGACATATTGCCGTCGGTAAAGGGAAAGCGTCTTGAATGGGTCTGCCCAATCGATTTTGAAGGGCGAACATCAGCGACTAGGGGAAACCATGGTCATCCATGGTCCAATTTCCGATAGGCCATCCGACAAAATGATATCCATCCAGCCCGTTCGAAAGAATTTGTCCATGGGTCAGTTGATCCCTGCCTTTTCTTGAGCAGCTTTGGCCTTTTTCAACGTATCTGCCACCTGTGAAGAGACAAAACGTATCCAAATGTCTGGTGGAAATGGCATGGGGGTTCGTATCCACATGTTTGATGGGACATGGCATGGTGTTGAAGTTTGCAGTCGCAAGGCGTCGTAAGAAACTCCCATGTGCGATCAATGACCTGTTGGTTGGTATCCTTACCTCATCTGGAACAATACGCAATCGATCGGGGTCATCATCCCGAAAAAGGTTAATAAACAAATTATCCCGGCAAGAGGCCCCCAAAATCCCCCAAACATTGTGGGGGTGTGGGAGGATAATGTCTGATAATGTTGATGATATTTGATGATGATGACGATGATGACGATGACGGTGATGATGAGGATGAGAATGTTGCGCACGATGATGATGAGGATGATGATGATGATGTTGTGGATGATGAGGTGCAGGTGCAGGATGATGATGTTGAGGATGATGAGGTGGAGGATGGCGATGCTGAGGATGATGATGTTGAGGAGGATGAGAACGAGGATGATAATGCGGAAGATGGAGTGGAGGATGCTAAGGCGGAGGATGATGATGTTGATAAGGAGGAAGATGATGATGTTGAGGAGGATGATGTTGAGGAGGATAATGTTGCGGAAGATGGGGTGTAGGATGACGATGTTGCGGAAGATGAGGTGGAGGTTGATGATGTTGAGGATGATGAGGTCAAGGATGATCTCAAGACCGGGACCCACACTTTGTGCCAGCCTGCGCAGTCGAAATGCGCGTTTACATTTCACAAGAGCTACGTTGTGCGAGAATTTACAAGTAAAATGCCACAGACCAAGACCGCGGACCATACTTTGTGCGAGCCTGCACAGTCGAAATGCACTAGGGCATTTCACAAGAGCCATTTTGTGCGAAATTTTACAGGTAAAATGCCGCAGAACAAGAGCGCGGACCACACTTTGTGCGTGCCTGCGCGGTCGACGTGCACTTGGACATTTCACAAGAGCCATTTTGTGCGAAATTTTACAGGTAAAATGCCGCAGAACAAGAGCGCGGACCACACTTTGCGCGTGCCTGCGCGGTCGAGTTGCACTTGGACATGTCACAAGAGCCATTTTGTGCGAAATTTTACAGGTAAAATGCCGCAGAACAAGAGCGCGACCCACACTTTGTGCGAGCTTGCGCAATCGAAATGCAGTTGGACATGTACGAAAATTTACAGTCAAAATGCCGCCGACCGGCTGGAGCACCCTGATCAAGCACCCGCCTTTACATTTAATTACCGTAAGAACCCCTCAGTGTGGACACTCTGTTCGGGGTACAAAAGAAATATCGCCATTTACAAGGTTTTACTGATCATTTACCAGGTTACACAAAGTATCAACCATCATAACGCAAAACCATATCCCCTTCCAGTGGTGTTTATCTCCCCAAGACTGGAGCACCGTGACCGCCGTTTTCCTGCAAGTACCACCTGCGGATGCTTCTTGCCATTCTCTGCAACCCAACGCCATTGCAGGTCTCCATCCGTTGGCCAATTGCAGGTACCTCAGGGCCAGCGCCTTCACTCATCTCAACAAAGAATATTATGAACGAGTGGGCCATGGGTGCAACATGCTGGGGCGACGGGAGGGGGGTTGCCTGAACCACAGCGCCTTCTTGATAAGCTCGAGCATGTTCATGAATGAATGTGTTTGGATGTACAGATTTGGTTCTTTGAAAAATGTGCGTTTCGCTGTGGTGCCAAGCACATTTTGAAGTCTTTACATCGTTGTGCTTTGATGCTAATATTCAGCATGTGTGTAAGATGTTTATCAAATTCCTCATCAACCCGACGTCCGTGTTTTTTGTCAAAAATACATGTTGAAGTTGAAACAACCCTTACAGGGGATTGCGTGTTTTTTCCATTCTCAATTGCGCCCGCTTTCAGTGAGCCAAGTTGTCCTGTATCTGCATATGCCTTGCTGGGATGCATTGTGCCCACAACACCCAAGTACAAGAGAAGAGTCGTTGGTGTAGCACAATCTGAGCCTGCAAGTACAAATTAAGAGTCGTTAGCATAGCATCATAAACGAGAAAAGTGATGACAATGATGGAACTTATGACTTGTGAACACAATGAGCATGATGAGCACGGAACATGTAGCGAACCATTTCGAAGAAGAGTGAGCTGACTGGAAGATTCCCGGAACTCAATCGTTCCCTGGTCATCCACTACCAGCGCCACGGGTGCCACGGTACCCCAGCCGAAGCCCAAGGTAAATCTCTCAACTTCAAAGACATCCAACAGCCTGCAAATCCACAAAGCTGCCATCAGAGGTAGATGTCACCCAAAATAAAAAAATCTTGCCATATCTGGCGTATCCGCCCAGTCATCTTGGGAGTTTCAGAATATATGGCCTGTAGTACTACGATCTTGGCGATTCTATATATAGATCATATAGATTATATAGATTATATAGTAGAAACATGTAGAAAATATGGTGACCAAGGTGATGACCAAGATGTTCACCATCCACAAATCTACAACCTTGACAAAATCCCTTGAGGAAACTGTCGCGAAAGTGCTCCCAACATGTGCGGGCCAACCGAAAATCAGAAGTTTAGCTGGGCGCTGAACTTGTGGTGCGAACTGCAGGAGGTGAATCATATTCATCATCCTCTGTTAGTGGACAACTATTTAACCGGGAAAGACAACACAACCTCTGGGGTCTGACATCCCCGAGACATGAAGTGGGAACGCCCCAGGCCTTACCCTGGCGGAGCCCCTATCGCTCAGTGCCGCCTGCCGCAAGACAATGGAACAAACGACACATTCTAAATACTAGTGCATCTAAATGTTTGTGCAACTTGACACTACTTGAATCTTCAAAACTTTGTGGGCAAACCAGGGGACGCCAAAGATGCCTTGCGGATCCTGTAGGATGACTTAGGGTGGAAGTATCCCTACCCCTATAGAGGGGGAGGGCGGGGGGGACAAAACCAAATTGTCAAATTCCATTTTGTTTTGCTTGGAAACCCTGGGATAGTGATCCAACCCCTCAAATGGAATTGTAAAGTAACATTTCTTAACAAGCCTTGGGCACTGGTTAGAAAATACTTGCGCTTAGCTCCGGAGGAGCTAAGCGCAAGTATGATGACGGCGGCGCAATTTTTGGAGGGATGCCATCCCTACATATGTGCTGCTTCAGTCTGACAGTATTTAATTTTCATCTGCTTGCCAATGACATGGAATGATGAGGAATATTGATCATTGAGAAAGCATGATTGCAAAAACGGAATTTTAAAATGAAATTTCAGTACGACTCCCCCCCTCAAATTCCATTTTTAAGAGGGTAGGGATGTGGAAGTGATGGTTAATGTCAAGTGGTCTGCACAGCCCTAACCGTCTTTTTTGTCGGCCACGTCTAGCTGTTCTCAGCATCGCGACGATCACCAACCCACCGGAGAAAACCAGATACAGTTCAGTCAACATAGAGATACCGCGAAGGGTTTCCCCACATAATCCACATAGGTTTCTCATGTCTTACCGCAAGTTAGTACCGTAGGTCTACTGACTACTGTAGTATCTTCTTGGCCGCTTCCCCCCATGATGTCCTCAGTTGGATGCAGCTTCAGCCCTGTCTCGTGGGCCATTTTCATGTCTCGTACACGAGCCGCATCTTAGCACAATGAGAATATGATGAATGAGTTTGTGACGCATGATTGGAATCATGGGACTGTCACCATGGATGGAACCCTTTGCACCGGCATGTGGTTTGACTCAACGTTTCGAACAAAATTCGGGGTGCAAGTTCAGGACATATCTGATCCCTAGGTATCCTGTAACCGCTACAATAAAACTCAATGGCTGTAATCTTGTGTTTCGTTTTAAAATGTTTTAAATATCTAATATCCATTAATAATCATTAATATCCAACCTCGTCCCGTTTCATGGCCTTTCTAAGTTGATCCAGATCCGTTTCGTGGCCGCCCAGTGACGTTCATCGCTGCGGAGGATTCCGCGGAGCTCCGCCCAGGTCCGATGTGCCTAGCAGATTTTTTTTATCATCGAAATAAAGGCCCCAACACAGTTATCGAAATAACATATGTCACATATGTCACATATGTCACTCTTTTTGGGACGCTACAAGTGATATTTTGGGGATTTTGGGGGTATCAATTTGGTCAATTGATGAACCTTTCGATGGTGAAAGTAAGAAACACCTTCATTTTTTCCGGAGTTTGATCAGTTTGATTCATGAAAAAATATGCCTATCAACGGAATGCAACACCACTGCATGATGAATTCATGGTCCACCAATGTCACGAATCGTAGGAGTTGAGCGGTTGCAAATGAAGATGGCCTTGAAATTCAAAATGTTCGAAATTCAACATATTTGATCCATTTTGATCCGCAATCCGCAACTATCTCCTATAATAGGTTGCTAATCTGTAGATCAGCAATCGTAATCCGTTACATTACATGATGTTCCATGCCTAAGGTGCAGTCCATACCCTCAGTGCATCAGCCACCACAACGCCGCCAGCACCAGAATACCATCAGCACTACCACAACACCACCACGACGACCTCCCTCCAACATCCCCCAACATCCTCCAACCATGGGTTTGGAATGGTTTGGATGCCAATGCCAGGAGGCCGAATTCGGACAACATGGTGCACAGAATCTGTTCTCAACCCCTCCCATTATTCAGGCTGAAAGGAGCGCTGAAATTCTGACAGGTGTCAGGTCTTCATCATGAAGCGTTGGCATTATTTGAGATTTGTGATGATTTGTGACTCGCGGGCTGGGTGGGTAAATTGGTCAAGCCTTTGGCAAGCAGAACAAGCCAAACCTGAATGCACTGGAAATGGTGGCCAGCCATCGCTTCACAGTACCTTCACATGGCGACTCAGTTTCAATGGTGGCGTTCCAATCCAGGAGGGCATATTTGTTCCCACACCATGCATTGGCCATGCATGGCAGCCATCTAGCGGAGCGTTGCCACATTGTCACGGAAAAGTGAAAGAACCTGTCAAGCAGTTTCCCTTCTTCCAATTGCTCATTCAGCGCCTGCGGCTTTTTGACAGTCGGCGCGCTGACAAGGTCTTGGATGGACCGAGCATAGCTTTCCGAGGCTGAGAGTACCGATGCACGAGGCTTGACAGCGTTTATCAGTTTTTCAAGCATCCCTTCTTGACTGCGAGCATTCCGAGCAATTCTTATATGTGTTCCACAAGGTCTGGTCAGAAAGGAGGCCGTCCAGGAAGCTGTGGCAACATCATTGCCAGAAGATTAATTACGCGTAACTTCGGTCCAGGCATCGGATCAATAACTTGTGAATTTGCCTTGCTTTTGGGATGTAATATCATTATATCATGTTATATCATATGCCTTTGTCATGTCTTGCAGATTTGCTTTCAGCAAGCGGCTTCCGAGTCCATCGAAAAGGATTTGCTCTGGCCTCTTTTTGTGGCAGGTGAATCCCCCGTCGTAGAACCTCGAAGAATCTACATCTGGACTCTAACACTGCGCTACTGCTACGAATAATCAATCCAAGTACTGAGTGAAGATTAGTTTTGAACATCCCAGTATATCCAGTACTATCTCATATAGATAATTAATGATAATTATACATACAGTATATCATATATATATATATATATGTACAATAATTAATATACATAATTTATAATATACATGTCCACCCCGGGATGGGAACGCACTGGACACACTCCACCATTGCTTCGGATCCACTCCCAATGACCCCACAAGAACATTCCCATTTTTTAGAAAGATAATGGCATCATATAAGAAATTATTTTTTCCCAACCAGTCAAATTGCAGCTGGCTATGGTCAGTTGTCTTCTTCCATCACCTGTTGGGCTTGCCACGCTTGCCACACCGTTTCATCCGGTTGCCCTGCCTGGAGTTGACCCTTTGATCCAATGGCCCTGCGAATCCCTTCCACCAGAGCTTCTTTGGCACCAGTTTGAAGGTGAGCCTCGGTAAAGATGCATGGCTGATGCATGGCTGATGGATGAAGAAAATGATGTGTTGGACAGTTGGACATGATATGACCATGTTTCGGCCAACATCTTGACCTCATGTCCAGGTGGGGAGGTGCATTCTCTAATTTTTGTAGTTGCGAATTGCATTGTTATCAGTTAACACTAGCATTCAATATTATTCATGAAAGGATTAAATAGATGCAACACATAAGTTATATAAACCAGTTGTTTTTGTTTTTAGCAACTTATATCACAATAAATCACGATGTTTCCAGTCTGGCCTTCGCAAGATCGACCTTGTAGCTGCCGTTCTTCACCACCAGGCGCAACTCGTTGCCTCCAGTCGGTTTGCAAAGGCGGCATCAGATGTAAGGAGGATAGAAACTTACGGATGCCTAAACTCACCTGATCTGACCCCAAATCCTTCCAAATTCTGAAATGGTTCATCTTTGTGAAAAGGAATGCGCACAAGTGAAACTGGGTCCAAGCTTGTGCTTTACGGGGAAAGATCGAAACCATCATTTGAAATTCAAATGCCGTTCTTCAGGGGATTGATGGATGGTCATGCGAGAAACCATGATGAACCAATGATGAACCGATGCTGAACCTGCATTCACCTTGCCACGATATCCAGCCACGCCTGTCATGGAGACCTCTTTGAGACTTGCAAACGTGACGCCCCGCAAAGTCTTGGCCTGGGAGTTGCAGTGGCTCTTGACACAGTATATAAAATCTGTTCGCAACACATTGCAACACATTGCAATCTTTATTTTCAAGAGCAGAACATGCCGTTTCACCAGAATAGCCAACCACCAACCCAAACGAACAGCTTAGGCCAATGTGAGCAGCATCAAACTTGCAGCCAAAAAAATGCCTAAGATGCAAAGAATCAGAATATTCCCCAATATGACCATATAATGTGATCTGTTCGTAGACTTCTCAAAGCTGGATTGAAGTCTGCGGTACCATGACATGCAGGGATTCCTTATAGAACTTCAATTCATCTGCTTCTGCTTGACTCCTTGCTTCATATTGCTTCATGCATGTGACCCATGGGCTCTCCAAGATTCCTTTCACCACAGACTTCATCCATAGTCTGTGCCACCCGAAGCAACATGTCCTGGAGCCCATCGAGCACATCACGCCCATCTGGCTCGATGGGCTCAAATCTGGCTTTGTCGGATTTTAGGGTTCCCGGACGCACCCGTCTGGCAGTCTGGGCTTCGCGACTTTCGTGACCGATGGGAGCACTGGAAGACTTTCTTCCAGCATTTCCAGCGGAGTGAGCTTCCTGTCCTGGCTCATGACTCGGGAGTCTGCTCATTGAAGCACGGGTCAAGAATTGGACAAAGAAAACTATCCGTCAAATCCGTTAAATCCATCCTTCCACATGCTTTAAATCCGTATTTATAAATCCATGGCCTCCAATATATCCAATGGCAAATCCTCAGATCTGGCCCAGTTACTTATTTGTATCTTATTTGTTTAAACTCCTTCCAAACTTTGATTTTTATATTTTTTCTCCAGCTTTTGGCCCCAATTTTGACCATGGCACCTCGGCTACGGTAGCTACGGCCACAGCCAACTTGTCAGAGTAGAGAAGCACTACTGGGGTGCTTTTACCTGCGGACGCTGGTCATAACATACCGTGGCATACCTGGGCCATGCTGTGCTATGCCATGCTATGCCATGCTGTGATATGCCATGCTGTGCTATGCTAGGTTGTTTAAGATGTGTGCCCCAGTTTTCTGAAATTATCTGAAATTGACGGTCTTTGATCTATTTCACACTGCAGCGTAGCAAACTTTAAGTGGGGAAACACAGAGATGACCGGTCGCATGTCATGACCTCAATGCTCAAGTACTTCAAACCACACCGAGGCTCAGGTTTCACCGCTTCAAATCAGATATGCCTTAAACTTTCAGTTCTACCAAATGGGATCTGGTTGCACCGCAAATTCATTGGTTTCTCTGCTGAATCAAACCAATTCACTAGCTTTGGGCACCAAGCTTGAGAAATCACCATCAGTGATAAGCAGTGGGACCGTCAGCCTGTCCGCTCCAACAGCACGACTTCACAAACACCCTTCAGGTTCTCACCGTACCTGCCACACCGTTGCCGGATCAGTCATCTTGTTCCAAGGGTCCAGTCCCGTGCTTCATCTGCATGTGAAAACAAACAACTCTATCCACAAACGCATTGGACAAAGAAGGAACATGAAGCAACATGAAAGCCACCGATCTCAAATGCGAAAGCATTCTTCGGAACAGCACAAGGCACCTCTGAAGGAGCTGTGCTTCGATATCCACGAATTTTCGAACCTCGCCCAAATCACCTGGTACTGTATATATCAAACATTATCAAACCGCAGAGAAGGCACGCTCTGTCGTTACTTGATGTCACGTGGCTCCTCAAGTCTCTTCATTGACCTCTTTATTTGCTTAGACCCGTTTGTATCAAACGACTTCTTGGCCCCATCTGACTTTCATGGACGGACATCTGAGCAGAAGAGTTGCACTTAATTTCCCGCAGCCATTTGTTTCAAAACGGGCTTGAGCCCTTGCAGTCAAGGTGATATTCAATCTGCATCACTCACATACTTTGTGTGACTTCAGCAGCATACATCGTTGGTGGGGCAAACATCTGTGGATCGGTGTGCGCAATTCAACGATCCGTGGGTCTTTGGTTTGATCGAACACTTGTAACAAACATCATACAAACATCCAATGCAGAGGTTCCATACAGCTTAACCTGAAATGGGCATGCTTCAAATTTACAAAAACTTACTCCCATTTTGGGATGGTATTTGAGCCATACCCACATCTTGGGACATGGATCTTAAGGGTTTCATATGACATCATATGACTAAAAATTCTATGATTCCCCAGAGCCATGGCACCAAAGAGGAGCCGTGGCAAGCGCAAACGGCGGCGGTTGCTCCGCCGCTGGGTGTCCTGGTGGCCAAAAGTTTTAGATTGTACAAATAGATCTGACCCATTGGAATCTAATCATATATATTCATATATAATCAATGTCAATATCTAATCATATAATATTTGTTTCATGTACCGAAGTAAATGGTTTTCATGTAATGGCGGTTTCATTTTGAGTTCTTTTCATGAGTTTATCTCGCGAGATTCTTTTCAAGGCCGCTTTAATTTCATCCCAAGATTAGCTGCGAACACTTCTGCCAACTTCTCGGAGCACAGGAACCACGGGCGCCTCATTGACATTCAGCTGGTTACTGGATGAAGCCAACCCGTCAGTCACCTGCAGTGGAAAAGACCCTGTGGGGAACGCACTTCCACTGGATGTTGGGGATCAACCAAAGCTCATCCTGGATCATAGCGTAGGAATTCTTTGAACTGTAGCAGAAATAGAAACATGATTCTGCCATATTCTGCCCAGTTTGGCCATTGTAGCAACTAGTTGTGAGGACTGGATGAACACAACCCTGTTAACCATGTTCAATTTCATGGGGTGGGGGGTAGTTCGGGTGTGGGTGTGGGTTGGCCAGTTTTCTTCTCTTTGGAAAATTTGGTCCTTTGGCTGGAGAAATTTACAGTACATGGTTCAAATGGAACTGCTTCAGAATTGACCAGATGCCTGAAAGGAGTGTCACTATCATTTGCAGCTCCGCCATGTGCAATCATGCCTCTGCAGTAAGTTTCAATGTTTCCCGGTTTGTTTTGTCTTGAACATACATGCAATAGTAAACCCCCCCAAAAATAATTAGAACTGTAATTTGTCACTATTTTAGTAGGAATTCACTTTTCATTTTTTTTAGGGGTTGCTATACGCTTGAAACACAAACCAAGATTTACTTCGGCACTACAAGGTTGCCTTTGTCCCGAAGTTAATATGCACACTGTACTAAAATTTCACTGTTTCACGTTATGCAATACAGTGGTTTCACCGTGGAAAGCATCTACAAACATGCACGGTTGGTGGAACTGGGAGCGCCGCAGAGTTTTCATTTCTATTTTCTTTATTTTTCTCCTGCGTTTTCCACATATTTCTCATGACAATGGGATACAATGACTGCTAGACCAGCCCTAAATGGTGACAGAGCTTTGCCTCGCTGAAAGCAGTTCCAATGGCTGCCACTGGCTTGACAATGGTTCCCAAGGTGCCCTGAACCAGGCCTCCGGGATGGAACTTGTGCAGGTCATAAATTCTTTCTCCATAATTGCAAATGGGTTTTTCATGATTCAACAAAGATTCAACATATATTTTACATAGATCCTACATACACTCTGCATAGATCCAACAAAGATCCTACATAGACCCTACATAGATTCTACATACAATCTACATAGATTCAACAAAGATCCTACATAGACCCGACATAGATTCTACATAGATCCTACATAGATTCTACAAAGACTCTACATAAACCCTGTGTAGATTCTTCATAGATTCCAAAAAGGTTCTACATAGATTCTAGATAGATCCTACATAGATCCTACATAGATACTACATAGATTCTACATAGATCCTGCATAGATTCTACAAACGCAACGCATAGATCCAACAAAGATCCTACATAGACCCTACATAGATTCAACATGGATTCTACATAGATTCTGCATAGATTCTACAAAGACCCTACAAAGGTTCTACATAGATTTTAAATAGGTTCTACAAAGGTTCTGCATCGGTTCTACATAGGTTCTACATAGATTCTACGTAGATCCTACATAGATCCTGCATAGATTCTACATACACTCTACATAGTTCCAAGAAGGATCCTACATAGACCCTACATAGGTCCTACATGGAGTCTACATAGGTTCTACATAGATTCTACATAGACCCTACGTAGATTCTTCATAGATTCCAAATAGGCTCTACATAAATTCTACAGAGACTCTACATACACCCTGCATAGATCCTACAAAAACCCTACATAGATTCTACATAGGTTCTACATAGATTCTACACAGACTCTACATAGATTCTACATAGATTCTACATAGGTTCTACATAGATTCCACATAGATTCTACATAGCCTCTACATAGATCCTACATAGATCCTACACAGATGCTACACAGATTCTACACAGATTCTACACAGATTCTACATAGACCCTACATAGATTCTACATAGACGCTACAATGATTCTACCTTGTTTCTACAAAGATTCTACATATATTTTACATAGATTCTACATACACTCTACATAGATCCAACAAAAATCCTACATAGATGCTACATAGATTCTACATAGATTCTACAATGATTCTACATAGAATCTACATAGATTGGTCATAGATTCTACATAGATTCTACATGATTCTAGAGCCCTTCACAGTAAATAATCTATAGACAGACTATGATTAAATAAGTTGTTGATAGTGTTTTTGGGGGGAGACAACTCAAGAGTGACAGTTCTTGCATGTTGGGTTTCGTAATTATGACCAATTTCAGCCTTTGGACTGGGGGCGGCATTGCTGATAACTTCTTGCGGCCTTTTTTCCATTTCTTTCCTGCCTGTGCCGAACCCCCAGATGCCATCTTTCTTCGCGCCCTCGATTGGCTTCGTAACGACATCGAACATGCCCCCGACGCCTGGCCAAGGGAAGCTGAGAACATTCCAGCCTTAGGCCTTGCAGACCGCACGGCGGACTCTAATACAGCTTTGACAGGCACATCAGGATCCATGAACATCCTCACAGGAAAAAATCTGTCTTTCTGTGGAGTCGCCCACCATCTCCCACCTTCCATCAAGGTCTTTCCAGCAGCATTGAAGCCCTGTTGGGCTCCCTGAATTTGGCTCTTCGGTGCTCCTTGGTTTAGCAGGGAAGTCGGAGGGTTAGAGCAGAGACAGGGGACTCTTCCTGAAGACACCGCTGGCCTAATTGATTTTGCCCAGTTCAAACGTTCAAACTAACATCATCATCATCATCATCATCATCATCACTGAGATTGCTATGCGCCCAGGGGATGAACGCTGAGGAGAAGTGGCTTGGGTCATGGGATTTTCTCCAAGATGATTTGCACTAGTCAAGGGCAACTGCGAACATTTTGGCCATCTACAGACTGGCCAATATTTTTCCACTTGTCAGAACCCAGCTACGATTTTTCCGCTCGATAAACTCCTCATCCATTGTGAGGTGCCTGAAATGGTGTGAGAGGGGAGAACCTCATGGCACGCATCGGACTCATCCCTGTGCACAAACGCTTTGAAACCAGGGCCTGAAGCCTAGACAATGCACTGTCTATCAAACTCAACAGAACTATCCCTAAAATTTGGGATGAACTTCAAAGAGGGGAACTGAAACCCCATTCATCCCCCGGCATTTTTCTTTCAAACTTACCTTCTGATCCACCGCCATCAGCTATTGGCTCGAACCCCGCCTCAGCTTGGACATAGAGAAGTTGGTGATTTCCGTCAAGCTGTCGCTGAACAAGGCAACCGTGGCTCCGCCTAACTTCAAAGGGGCCTTGGGCAGGTTCAGCACAGAACTTTTACCTCGGGCCGGATAGGAATGGGTTGGAACTGGGTCCTTGTATGTCGTATGGGAAACCCCAAACCAGGCAGCTAGGGTTTGTAGCACCAACGCCGAACACCACCAAGAAAAATACACATCACATGAATCCTTTCCTTTGCATATTTATTACACAAGTACATATAGTAATAGTACATCATCGATTGTCACATCAAAGCACGTAGTCCACTTACTACACTTACTTCACTGATCTAGGAAACTTTGGGCTTTCCACGGGAGGGCGCCGGCTCAGGCCATGGCACCCAACAAAGAGGCGATATGAGCCAAGACGGAGGAGGTGTAGTCGTTCAGGATGGCAGCCGCATAGTCCTCGTCTTTCTGTGTCTTTCTGCGCTTTCAGTCCCAGGCTTTGCAGAAAAAAGGGGTATATGGTATACGACATGCATTGGTATACATCGGTATACCGCGAATCCCGTGAACATGCAATTTGTAGGCATTCCATTTGCAGAAGCCCCCATTGTCTACATAGTACCTGCAACCCAGCCAAAGATTCTCGTGACTACAGCAGCAGCAGTTCTGTGCCCGCAGGTGGGCATAGCAGCTTCTGTGCGCTATTTGTCCCTGAAACCTTTTCTCTACCATCATGGCATGGCACACCCCCCCTCCCTTACTCCCCCCCCCTGGAGAGTTACTTATTCCTTGCTTATTTTGGGAATATAGCCTTTGAACAAAATAAGGTGGAAATAAACATGGAATAAGCTATGATGCCTCACTGCCACTTCCTTCTTTAGGACAGGTGGATTTCGGAAAAATAATGCTTGAATAGTCTATGATTTTCCAGTGTAAACAACAAGGGAGACCAAAAAGAAAACCGATCAAAATAGCTGTTGTTCAGAAGACAAAACAAGAACCCACAAATTGACAATATACCATTGCTTTGGGCCCCGCACTGAAACTGAATGATTGCGACATGGTATTTTGTTTCAAACACAAATCCCAAATTTCACCAGAAGAGGTTGAAAACTTGAATATATTAATACCATCGTGTGAAATGTTCCCATAATATGGGGCTGCCCCAAAATCATCTCAGATTCATTCAACCATTTAAATATCAGGAATAAGCCAGGAATAAGGCAGGAATAAGCAGAATATGCTGCAGAAAGCCAAAATCAAAAAATAAGGCAGAAATAAGGCAGGAATAAGCAAGGAATAAGGCAGGAATAAGCAAGGAATAAGGCAGGAATAAGCAGAATATGCTGCAGAAAGCTCAAATCCAAAAATAAGGCAGAAATAAGGCAGGAATAAGGCAGGAATAAGGCAGGAATAAGCAGAATATGCTGCAGAAAGCCGAAATCCAAAAATAAGGCAGAAATAAGGCAGGAATAAGCAGAATATGCTGCAGAAAGCCGAAATCCAAAAATAAGGCAGAAATAAGGCAGGAATAAGGCAGGAATAAGCAGAATATGCTGCAGAAAGCCAAAATCAAAAAATAAGGCAGAAATAAGGCAGGAATAAGCAAGGAATAAGGCAGGAATAAGCAAGGAATAAGGCAGGAATAAGCAGAATATGCTGCAGAAAGCCAAATCCAAAAATAAGGCAGAAATAAGGCAGGAATAATATAGGCAGGAATAAATCAGGAATAAGGCAGGAATAAGCAGAATATGCTGCAGAAAGCCAAGTCCAAAAATAAGGCAGTAATAAGCAAGGAAATAAGGCAGGAATAAGCAGAATCTGTCGCAGAAAGCCAAAATCAAAAAAAGGCAGAGATAAGGCAGGAAGATAAGCCATGTAAACCAGGTTTGGGCAACCCAAGCGGTGGCTACTCGCAGGCAAAGCAACACGAGCAAAATATGAAAAATCATCCTTGTCTATTGCGGACTTTGAACGGCCGGCGAGGGTCTTTTGCTTGAATAACAAAATAAGGGTGAATAAGGTCTCACTCACTGTTTCTCCACTTGCCATCCTGTTGGAAAAAATAAAGGTGGAATATTATTCCCTTCTTATTTGGGTATTATTTTTCTGTTTACAAAATAGTACCTTATTAGGGCCTTAATAGATACCTAATAAGGCCTTAAATATAATTCAGGAGGGAGGGGGGGGGTAAGGGAGGGGGGGGTGTGCCATGCCATGATACCAGAGCTTTCGCTTTGGTTTGTCCGGACAGATGAGTGTCCCAACAACCTGAGAGCAAGACTGTCCCCACATAGAATCACCATTTGAAATGTATGCTTTACTTGCTTGCTTGCTTGCCTGCTTGCTTTACTTACGCACACACACACACACTTGCTCAGAACTGTCATTGCGAATTCTGTCGTGGAATGCATCTTACCTGCAAAAACACTTCTTCCATTACACCTGACAGGATCACGATGCTACCATCGCCAAAGCCAGTGCATTTGAAATCAAATAGTTGAAGAAACAGGTTCAATTTGAAAAAAAAACAGATTGCTGCAGCAAACGTGCAGGCCTCGACAAGAAATTGTCGAAACTGTCAAAAATGCCGGATGGGGTTCTTGGCTTAGCCCTGTGCCATGTCTGTCAAAAACTGGAATGACGAAAATGCAGGTACACCAGGGTGATCAGCCCCGGCTTCCACCATCATGCACAGCTTCGTTGGCATGCGTTTGCATGATGGTCGCATGCCCCCTGCAAATTGACATGAAATTGTCGTAAACTAAAACCTAGAAGCCAAGGAATCACAGGTTAGAAGTCTTACATCTCTTCAGATGGTTCACGCACACACACACAGAAACCCAGGTGTCCAGCGAGGTGTCAAAAGGGAAGGCTTGATAGGTCCCCCAATCCACCCTGCACTGTCCTGCAAGGATCCACGGTGCGGCTCCAACTGTTTTGCAGGCAGCTCCAACGACACCTGCTGGGAAAAATAACTCTGTGCCATGCACCATGCTTCAAACCTGCTGAACTTTTGGCAAACTTGGGTGAACTTCCTTTTTACATATCATTTCAATATGATTCTTCCGACCTTGTGACTTTCTTACAATGGTTTGTCTGGGGAAAAAACGAAAATCCAGCAATATATTGATTTAATTTGGTTTACTATTCATTTATCATTTAATATTCTTTTCATTATTCATTCACCCATGTGTCTGGGGAGTCTGGGGAGTCTGGCAAAGATCGGATGAACTTTTGGTGTCCCGACTCCATCGAGGGTGAAATTCTTGCTGAGTGAGAAGACATGAAGAGCCTGACAGATCTGACAAATTGTTGGCAGGAAAACACAGCCTATGCTCTGACACATGATTCAAAAAATGGTCTGACAGACAATCTGTTTCTCCCTCCAGTATATTCTCCCTGCAATGGACCATTTTTTGTCGTTTCATGCGCTGCATTGCTGAGCGTCATCTGTATAGTCTGTTGCTGTGCTAATTTGAATGTGAATGCGGGGTTGATGTTGTTGGCTTTTCACCCTGGCCCTCTAGTGGTGATCCCAAATGAGCAAGGATTGCCAGAATGGGATGGCAATTCAATGTAATCCAATGTAATTCACCATCATTGAATTAATTGAATTATCCGTTTTGGTGTGTTTAATTCTTCGCCATGTCCAGGGAAGTCATCAACCGTAATTCGAAGACAGGTGAAGTGGATTCCGGAATCTATGAGCATCATTGACCACCTAGAAGCATCTAGAAGCATCTAGAATCTAGGGTCCGAATTCTGCCAAGCAATACTGCCATCAGATTTGTTGTGTTGAGTGTGCCGAGACACCGTGCGGATATAGGCTGGCAGGAAATCAAGGTGCTTGAGCTGAAGGCTGCACCAAACCTGGGTCCCCAAGTATAAAAGGCAAAAAAAAACAACTTGATACAGAACTCACTGCACCGGCTGGGAACTCTCACTTTGCTGGAAGGATTTGTGTTTCCTTTTTTGTTCCAAGTTGCGCACAGTAAAACGAACCGAATGATGGATCACCCCCACAAGAGATCCATGGTCTTCGACCATCTGATTACAAGCATCGCACAAACACAACTTTCATGACTTGAACTTGTTTAAACTTACTCATAGAATCTCAAAGAACATCATAGTTGAAAACGATCTCATAGTTTTTTTAAAAGAAGTCTCAACTGTCAAAGGCCAGGCCACCGTGGTATTCACCGCCGAAATATTCACACTTTCAGCTTGCACCACGGCTGGTACATCGGGCGCCACATAGCCTTCCTACGGGTGAACTAAACATGTTGGGAGTATCTTGAAGGCTACTAGAATGGGATTGAAACTTGACACTTGACACAATACAGTGGGCACGGCACTAGGATTTAATTGCGGATCATTATGAGCGTATGTTCAAAGTATGCATGCTTCAAATAAAGGAACATAATGGATCATAACGGATCAAAAACATCGTAGGGATTTGTGTGAAAAAGAGTGTACTGACATGTACTGACTGGTTGGTCATGATTTTCCCTTGAAGTTGCCATATATGGTTCCATATTTTGGAGCAATTTCTCCCTTTTTGGACAGCACCATACATGGTTGGTTATATGAGTTATATGTACATATATATATACACATAAATGTTATTAATGTGTAAATGTATATATAACACATTATAATAATATCCCTTTATCTCCCCATCATGGTTAGTTTGAATGAGTTAAACGTTAACCACCATTTTCGCATCATCACACCCACAAAGGATCATGAAAGATATTTGAAGGATCATAAAGCTATGGAAGTTTACATCAGCTTATATAAGAGTTTACTAATAAGCTTACTAAGCAATTGCATAAGCCATTACTAGCCATTAGCCGTCACCAGCCAATCCAATCCTCCTTGAACCAGTGCGACTCAGCGGCCGTGATGGGTTTTCCCGCTGCGAGAAGCAGATCCCTCGCTGAGTCGCCGAATTCGAAGCTTCCTGGACAAGCGCAGCATGCGCAGCCGAGCGCAACTCAGAACCCGGGCTGTCAATGGGCTGTCAATGGGCTGTCAATGGGAAACATCTGGCAAGATGATGCAAGATGCAGAAAACCACAGCAGTGATGATTCATTGATCAATCATTGATCATGATCCACTCCAACACCTGAGAATACAAGCACTAGAGGCCTTACTTAGCTCATCTTAGCTCAATCCTTCGAATTTCATCCTTGATCATCATCTCTCATGTCATTTTCCACGCCCCCCATCAACTCCTATTATGTCATGTCCCCCAAATTCCCCCAAGCAGTAACGAGTTGTACCCAGTTTCTTGTCCTCGGCCGGCGACCTGCAGCCATTGCTGCAGGGGGGTGAACCAACGTTCATCCAAAGTGAAGTCCAACTTGTCGACGTCCAACTCCGCTGAGGAGATCAACAAGTCCCTGACGACTGGAGCCATTGGGCAGATTCCATGGAGAACAGAATGCAATAGATATAATGCAGCATGCATGTAAATGGAATGCAAGCTGTATGATTCTGTATGATGTTGTATGATTTAAATAGAACTGGCAAGACAAGCTGAAATGAATAGATTAAATTGAATAATTCATTAACTGGTAAATTGAATCGTATCTATTGCATATAGCTCTCATATCTATTACATCTTGGTACATTCTATTACAGTTACAAAGAAAACACAGGGTGCAACTCTCATCCATGCGTGCGCATGTGGCCTGGAGGAGGTGGCCTGTCGCATCATCTGGAACTGGAGGAAGGATTTGCCTCCTGGGAATGAATTTCAGCTGGACAGCTGGTGTTCAATGGTGTTCACCTGACAAAATGATGTAAAATGCTACATAAAATACATTAACATACGATAAAATGAATCAACATAATACAAAATGCCTCCCGTGGCTATCTGAGAACGGCACTACATGATGCTTCACTGATGCTACCCCTCCAAGTGTCCAGATTTGTAATTGCACTTCGATTCCAAGTTTTGGAGCTGCAGGTGCTGAGGTTACTTCATAGATTGGGGTAGTGATATCTTTACTTTGCGGGACACTCTTGACCTTTGACATCTTTTGACCCCCAGCACTGAATCATTTTTTACTCAACGTCGTGGCCATTGCTTCCACATCTGCGATTTTCTCGGCGCTGCGGTGGGAGCAACTTGCTGCGAAACCTGCCAGGAAGCTGTGGACTTTTTACAGGACCCAAATGTTGCAATTGGTTAAAACAATAAAAACCTCTGCATTTCCAAAAAATGTGTTTAACATTTTTTAAGTCCACTCTGTACCCTGACTTGGAGATTCCAAACGCACCAATCAGAACCAACTTCACAAAGTTCCCCCTGATCCATTGCATTCCATTGCATTCCATTGCAGTATCCTGAAGACACCCGATGATTCGATGATCGTGTGATGCCGTCTGCGCCCCAAATCTGCCTGTCCAGGGACTCCAGGGAGGTCTCCAAGTACATAGCCAGTGCCAGGAACGAAGGAGAAGTTCACCGAGCTGCGTGGCCGCCGTCGTGGAGATCCTCTGGACATGGAATGGACATGGAATGGACATGGAATGGACATGGAATGGATGAACTCATCATGAATTCATTATGAATTCATTATGAATTCATTATGAATTGATATTGCTGCGGACGGTCCAAGACCATCCGAGTCCATCCTCCGATAATGAAGTGTATGAAGGATTGTTCATGATTGTTCTACATGCGGGTTTTCCGTGGGGTTCCCATATGATGGTGCCTACTGATTAATTAGTTGGCATTCGTGAAGTTTTGATAGTCTTGAACTGTGTATGGTGGCCACACATGAGCTCACATGTGGCAATGTTGGATACTGCATCACTTTGGAGTTCATTTTAAGGGGTGCAGACATGTGCAAATGCTTGGGTGTGACCCAGTATTTAACTGAGGGTTGAAACAGCGTTGCCTCTCTAAACCGATCTCGAATAATTATCTGGAAGGCACTTTTGATGAAAGCTGATGAAAATATGCATCTTGCATGGAGGCAATCTGTTCAGTTCCAGATGCGTCACATATCTTGCAGATCCAAACACATCCAAAGGGGAAAACACACGAAAAACAGTGGTCTCGCAACAAAGTTGCGCATTGATAAGTTGCATGTTGATGTTACAACAGTTAAGGATTTGTTGCCACCAATGCCTCCACATATACACAACTGATATCACGTATAGCCGTATAGCATCGCATCAAACTCAACCCGCTTAGGTTTTGCAACAAGATCAAATAGGCATTAAGATGCGTAAGTACCCCCTGAAGCCGGAAGAGCTGAACATTTGAGCTGATTCTTGGGAAACTACCAGTGATTGGATGCATCTACACGATTGGTTTTCAGGTTGCATATGATTCTACTGTATCGGATATATCACGTTTCCAGACTTGATTCCCATATATTCCCATCACTATCATCATATCATCACTATCCAGTCTCAGAATCTTTGGAAGTTTCCGGGCTCCGGGAGAGGCTTCATCTGCTCCAAAGGTTCGTCTGCAAAGTTCCCCCAGTAGTCTTCATCGCTGTCGCTCTCCTGCCAAGGCAAACGGCAGGTCCAATTCGGAAATGTTTCCGGTGGACAAACAATTCGGTACCGTATGGTACGGTGTCAAAGTCTAGATCGGCTGGAATCTGATTTGATCAGTCTTGGGCATCGAACTTTCACTCCATCCATTACCATCCTTCACGTTTCACATTTCTGAAAACCCTTCTCAGCCTTTGATGGTGCACAGGGTGCAGTTTTTGCTTCGCCAAACACCTTGGCGCCGTCCATGCTGTCCCTCAATGGCACTTCTTGCTGCAGCTTTTGGCGACCAATCTCTAGAGCGGCATTGTGGTCCGCAAGACGCGCTGCCACACTCGAGGCCAACCAAGTATTCCTATCGGTGAGGTAAGTGACCGGTGTTAGGACAGCGTCTGATGGAATGCAATGCAAGCTTCATCGTTTGATATCATTTTACATTGTTTTAATTTGTTTTATATCGTTGTATATCGTTTTACACAATGGTGGTGGAACTGTGCAAAGGTATCCTGTCTCCAACTCTACCTGCCTCTCATGCATTTGAGTTACCCGGAAAAAAACACTCAAACCCAAAGTCCTGGTGCGGCGTTTCGAATTCGCAGGACTGTCCGCATCATCCACAAAGGTCTGCCAGAGATCTCCAGCTTTGCCTGTCGTAGCCTCTTTGGCTCCTCTAGCTCTTCGGTGCGTCGTTTGAGCTCTGTGAGCAATTTCTGTTGAGGATTCGCTGGTGCCATAGACACTGTGGTCACTGTGGTCACTGTTTGGTGGGCTCAAGGACGCTTTGCTTCCAGACTGTCCGGAATCCTGAGCTGCTGGTAAGGATTGAACTAGACGCTTTCAAACTCTTCTTGATATTTCTTGATGTCAACACATAGTTTTATAGAATTTATAGTCAAGAAATGTCAATAACATCTGATTTCTAGAGACGCCGCATGCTTCGGAAGTCTGATACCCGCTGTCTCAAAGCAATACCGATTTTGCAATCCTCAGGAAACGCCAGCTGGGCCAAGGTTCACTGTCTTCAGATTCCAGGGCTGAGCCGTCCAATATCTCACCTGCAAGGACTGGAAAACCCCATGCGTATCAACCTCTCAACATCTCTCAAGCATTTTGCTTGACGATCCATCACAAAAAAGGATACAACAGGTACATCAAGAAACTGGATGCCACCATTGTGGGACCCAAACTGATCTGCATCTCGTGAATTTAGAGTTGAATAGTTTAATACTTGCCTGTATAGTTTAAGAATGTTCAAGAGCTAATTAGATAGTATTAGTACTAAATAATATTAAATAGTATGAATATGTTTTTGTTTTATTTTGTTTTGCACGGCGCTGTCAATGGCAACTGCCATCCAAAATCATCCAAAGTCCCTCAGCAAACGAGATCTACCTCGCCTCCCACTGGGACGCCCTTCAAAAGGGCTGGGCGTAGATCCATGGCATCTCAAAGGATAGCAGTGACGTCAGTGACGGCAGTGGGCATGTTGCTCCAACTCTTGGCCATCCGAAACAAAGGTAACCCACCTTTTTCTCTCAGTACAAACGGCACATTTGGGAGGGTCGAGGTCTCAGCCGGTCGCAGTTTTCGGAAACATCTCTCTCACAATTTATGTTTGACATAAAATGTGCAAGCCATCTTTGACACTAGTCACATTAGTAGCAGTTCAGGTGAAACGGTCGCTGAAACAGCTGCAGGGCATGAAGCAACAGTCCCATCCTGCGGATCTATAGATATCCAATGATATCCATACATAGTGGACAAGTTGAAAACAGGTTGAAAACATTGCAAATTCAAAACATCTCTGTTCAACATCTGCTGCAGTCCGCTGGTGTTAAAAAAATAGTTGTTTTAACGGTTTTAACCAGTGTCTCCATGCTTGGTGGACCCACACCCATGAACTCCTGCTGAATGGTTCGCCAGTACCACTGCTGGGAAGTCCTGCGGCACGACCACATCCAGCGATCGGCTCCAAAAAAAAAGAATCAATCCCTGCTGTGCCACTGCTGTGCACTGCGCGTGCACTGCGCCTGGTTTTCAAGGAGCGTCTTCGGCAAGTGTAGCAGCCGGCTGGGATCCAGAATGTTGACTTTGTCCTGCCACTAGGAAATGACATGTATCGGAATGTATCGGCCTCAGAAAATCACAGATAGCATCAGATAGCACTTAAAACCGACAGTTCTGTGCAGTCCAGGCCATCTGTTCGGTCTGGCAGTTGACAAATCGCTTGCACCTGAGCATGTTTCAAGCGCTCCCCTGAGACACCCCGCAGCCTTCAACAAGGAACTGTAGTGACACTGTAGTGAAGTATGCCCCTTGATGATACAAGTAAGGACACTTTTTT